ATTTTCAGAAATTTAAACAAGGTGGAAACAACTCACAAACTGACCTAAACACAAAGACACAGGAGGGCAGCTTTTATAGTGGTTTGGCCAAAACATTTACACACAATCAGGGGAAACAAAAAACAAACACTAACTCAGCACAAAATAACACAACTAAACTTAAAACACCCCTGTTTCTCATAAGTATTTGGTTGTTCCTGGCCAAGCCTTTTGCCCAGACAGGAAACAGCCACCTCCCAAAACCAGGTAACTCAAAGAGAAACATAATTAATAAAAGAAAAAACATTTTTAAAAAACATCAGTGCTCGGTTTAAGTAAGAACATTAATGAATTATATTAGTGAAGCAAGTGCAAACCAAACTAATAAAGTAAATGAATTGACTTTTGTCCATGTGTGGCTGATGCAATCACAGTCCACTTGATTGATCTTTTTGCTTTATTTTATTTTAGTTTGTTTTGTTTTGTTATATTATTTATTTTTAACTTTTTAGTTACTACAAACGGAACAGACATGACCGGGGATAGGAAAGGGAAAGACATAGACAAGAGAAGTTTAAGAAAAGGAGAGGGGAAGAAAAACAGAGGGGAGGAGGGACAGTGAGAGAAGACACTAAAAAATCCGCTGGATCACCTGCTGGAAAAAACATGAAAAAGAAAACAATCAAAAAGAGAACAACACAGTAGGGAGACCACAGCAACAACCTACATAAGTATAAGTACGAGTAAATAAAAAAATATTGAATGTTACTGAGCAACACACAGGTCACCAATCAGCCACGGTGCAGAAGCTACAGGGGGCTGCAGTGACGTGCCCGCAGGCTGTGCTGGCAGCCAGCTGCGGCAGAGTGCCAGGCCCAGCCACCCAAGGTATGAGGGCCCCTGCCTTCTGGTAGGGGCCCGACCGAGCAACGGGCGCCAGGCCCCGCCAAACAGCCACCGGGAGTGGCCCAGTACATACCTAAGTGCCCAGCCCTGGACACCGAGAACCACCAACGCACCGATGTCTAAGGGCATCAACCACTGGTATGGAGTGTGGTGAGATCGGCCCCACACCTGGGGGTAGCCTGACATAGACTTAGAGAAACAGGCTCACACAGACACAAACATGCATTCCTGCCCTCATGCACACATTTACAAATACTCAGCAGTGTGTGAAGCACTTTGGTCCATTTTCACAGTTATATGTTTTATTTTCTCCACTAGTAGTTGTGTTGATTGTTGCACACCTGTAAACAAAGACAAAAGGTTGGACAGATGTACAGAAAGAGTTTCTGGCTCTGTTTGATTAAATCATGCTGTAAACAGTGGAGACAGTCGAACAGCTGGATAATAAATGTGAGCTGCTGTCTGAGAACATTTTAGAAAGAAGGAAAACACCTACAAATAAACAACAAAGGAAAATGAGAATAAATAAAGATTTTTATATTCTTCACATATACTTGATTATTACTCCAAACCACATCACATCATATTAGACCTCCTATTTCATAGGTGTCAAACTCTGGCCCGCGGGCCAAATTTGGCCCGCAGCCTAATTACATTTGGCCCGCGAAGCCATACCAAATTACTATTAGAGCTGGCCTACTGGTATTATACAGCTAATATATATATTGTTTAGTATTAAGCTTTGCTTGTTCCATATTCAGTTTTCCAGCAAAACTTATTTGAGTCCATAAGAAAAGATTCATTCTTATATCTGGAGGAAGATTTTTTTTTCAATAAATATTAATGTTAGCCCGCGACTTTGTTCCAGTTTTGAATTTTGGCCCACTGTGTATTTGAGTTTGACACCCCTCTCCTATTTCATCTGATAGAACTGATACAGGGTTATCTGTGTTACTGTATTACTGGATTTAAATGCACTTAAATGTTCATAAAATTATCTAAAAACATTGGACATGCTGGAGCCTGACTGAGAACAGAATGATTCAAAGTAAGATGAAGGTATTACTCAGTGGTGTCAGCAGCATTTCTCTCAGATGAGTTCCCGATGAGGATGTGAGCGTCTCTTAGATCAACATTGTGTTGATTTATGTTGTAAATGGTGATGCAGGAAATTTCATATAGACCCAATAAGTCAACTGTCCACCAGCTGATGGGCGTTTTTCTACAGTGTTAGAACATGTTGCTTTATTTCCATCCAAAGCTCTGTCAGCAGAGTATGTGAGACCATTTACTGTGTAGACTGAAGACTGAAATGCCACTTTGTCATCCAGTTTGATAGTTTCCCATCCTGGACTACATCCTGATGATGTAACTGAAAGTAAAGTTTTCAAAAAAGATGATGTACGTGGTACTAACACTTCAGATTAAGGCTTTTGCTGTTTCTTTATCAAAATCTTCTTTTCACTCCTAAATAATGAATCTGAATTCTGACTTTATAATCAGATTAAGTCTTTTGTAGCTACCATATTTAGCACACACACAATTAATATTGTGATGCAATAAATAAATAAATGAATTGAAAAAAAAAATATAAAAATAATTAAAAAGGCATAAAATTAAATACTTTACAAATAAGTATATTCAGAACAGAAGCACCATCATACTTTTGATATAACCTGAAGAAACTGATTAGAAATGCACTCTTACCTGGATCCTGTTGAGTTGATCTTCCTGTGAAGTTTCAGAGAACGATGTAAGAATGAGTGAATTACTGCCAGCTCTGATATTGTTGTTTGGTAATACAGCAGAAAGCACAGAATGTAAACCATCCTTCAACACTCAGAAATGAAACTGGCTTTACTAAAGTCAAATCCTCTTTAAACTAAATGAAACGACTTTTGCTTTATCGAGCAGTTTGGATCAACTCACAGTAAAACTGAACTGTTATATTTGATCTTTTTCATTCTTTATAACGATCATTGAAACATCACTGTGCCAGGCAGGAACATCAAATGATCCACTTACCAATCAAAGTGATGAACAACAGACTCCACAGCATCTTTACTTTAGACTCTTTGCACAAATGTGTCCTCTAATAAGAGAAAGAAAAGACTTCTACCCTCACTCTGGAGTTTTCTGTAGACACACTGATGTTGATATGATCCCCTCTCTGAGTCAGAGCTGGATTTGTATTTCTGTCACTTCCCTCACAGCAGAAAACATGAAAATATTCATTTCTCCTGTTTACACTCAGAGTGAGGCTGTTATGTTCAGTAGGCAAAGCATTCCCAGACTTTTAGATCTGATTTGCAGGTGTGAACATACCACGACTGTTATGATCACCATGTTCAAACTACATTGTGCATCCATCCACGTGCAAATACTTTAGCATACCAGGAAACTTACTTCACCAGTGGAAGCTGTGTGAATAGGTTTTCAGTGACATTTCCACAGCTGGATCATTATGTAGGCAAACAAGAATTTATGTTTTCATTTTTAACAGGACACTATGCCAGACTTTCTGCACAACATCTGAATTTAAATGTCCTGAAACTTCATGTTTCATTATTTAAAGCAAAATGCTTCTCACATGTTCACATCCTTTGATCCAAATTTATTGGGTTTTGTCCTCAAACAAGTATAAAATATAAATCTTTTCTAAATCAACCTATCAAGCCAGAGCCTCAATAACAGCTGGGATTTTAAATTAACATTGCACACATTTCATGTCTCACAGCTGCTAGCTACAAGCTGAGGAGTGCAGGGACCACAGAGAGTATTTTCAGCCTTCTACAGCAACACTGGAGAAACAATCACACACACCAGGATTAATCAAAGGTCATCACAGAAACTTTAAGTTAGTGGAAATGTTGGTTCCACAGACACAGAGTAACACTGATTTCAACTTTGTAAAAGCCTCAGTAGGTCAGTTTCATTCAGAGAATCTTCTCCAGTCAAAGCCTATCAGGAGATTATTTACAGCTATAGGAGTCGGTACCGCAGTTAAATTTAGGAGCGATATATTGAAATGGCTTCAAACCACTGGTTAAAGTGGAGCGTACATGTGTTCGTCCTGCATTATCTGTGTCTGTGGAGAAACAACTGTAACTAATTACATCCAGACACTGTCATGAATCAGCAAAAACAGATCTGAAGGTACACAGAGTACTGATGCAGAAAAGAAAACATTTGGGATCCAAAGCAAACCGCACCGACATGAAGGAAAAATCTGATCAGAATACAGAAGGTAAAAACTTTACAGTGAGATTAGAAAAAAATCAATTCATGTCCACAGTTATTTTCAAATCTGACAACGTGTATTTTCTAAAACCAAAAAGCTGGCAGCTGTAGAGTGAAAACATCTGGATTGCTGTAAGAAACATTCAGCTAACTACCTTTAAATACAGAAAACAAGTGAGGACTATAGCAGAAGTACAGCAGGTACAGATATGACATATGAGCGTAATAGGACCGCAGGTAAACTACTCAGATCACAACGTTAGCTTTTAGCTCTACAGCACAAGGTTAACTGGGATACGTGATGAATGCTGGATATAAAATCATAACTCAGTGAAAAGACACGGCAGCCTCGACATAAGCTACACATCTGTGTATTTATAGCTTCAAGAACTGCAAGACCAGATTAGACTTTACCAGAAAACATCTTTGAACAGCTGCTAATGGGACCACATCACTAATATTTATTGATGATGTGACTGCTGACAGAATTAGTAGAATGAATTTTAAAGTCTACAGGGTTGTACTCTCCTCTCAGATACACTCAAATGCTGTAAAACTGTACAACCATTAATACAATCCTTTCTTTAAATGCCTTAACTTAAAGCTGAAAGTCTGCACTTACATCACATCTAGATTGCTTGATTTAAAATCAACTTGAACTGTGGTGCTGTACATTAACACAAAAGAAAAACATGCCAGTGTCCAGATATTTATGGTTCTGACTGCATGTTTATAAAGTAATTTAGGATTAACATTTGAGCCTGATCGATCAATACTGGTCAATGTTAATGATTTGCTGACCTACTGGTATCAGCATTTATATTTAGTCAATAAAAACTAAAATGCAAAGAAAAGGCAGGAGAACCAATCATGTTATGAGTCCTGACGTTGCACAGTTTGTCCACCAGAGGGCACTCTCAACTTCCCATGTTTATAATCTGCACTGTCATTTTATCATAATAAGGACTTATAACTATGTATGTTCAGAGAATGTTTAGGTGCGATTTTCTATGTCTAAAAGAAAACAATACTGGCTCATTAGTTGTGTTCTAATTAGCACCTCAAATATGAACACACTATTAGCAAGCACAATTCATTCAAACATTAATCCAGCTGACTGCATGTCTTTTCTCTTGAGTTATGATTCTACATTTTTGCAAAGTACCAAAAAGCCACTTGTGCACAGTGAACTCTAAAACTGATTCTAATTAAAAACACTAATCTATTGTACATATTGAGCCTGTCTTGCTAACAGGAAGTCCACTGTTGACTGGATAGAGTTGCAATGACAGTTTTCATAGATAGAAACATATAAAAACCATTCAAAACAGATCGACTATAATAATGAAACAGCACACTGTAAAAGACTGTGGGCTGGATACCTGGGGGCAGCATGAAGCCTAACCTGTAGACTAAATTGAGTACTGACTGCCATTTTGTACCATGTATAGACATTAGCATATGAGATCATAAATGCTTAGAAAAGAGCACAAAACGGCTGCACTTGGGGTGTTTTTTTAAAAAAAATGTTGTGCAAAATAGAAATAAGTCATTAAAATAAGCCCCTCTAAACTAAAAGTAGCTCAAACTTAGCAAATATTCCAGTGATTTGAGCAACATTTTCAAAAGAAAACAGGTCCTCGAATCGCATTTTTAAGCTACATTTTCAGTTTAACCAGGATGAGGCTTCTACTGTGCCAAGTATACCAACCCCAAATATGTACAAATGTTGTTTGTCTTGGTTATTGCATGCAGTATTAGACAAAAGTATTCTTTAAAACGGTGACTCTGTTATTTTCATGACCAGGCACTCGTCATATGATGACCAAACAGATAAAAGGTTTCAGCTGGATTAAAGCTAAAGATGTTGGAAATCTAACCGCAGTGACTTCTAGTGCGACAAGTGCCCGGGGATACGTTCTAAACACTATCAAAATTCAGAACTTCAAGGTGTCTGTTTAAGGACTTAGAACTGAAGTTACCAATGTTAGCTTCAGTGTAGCTAGGCATCTAACAGCGTCAGCAGAAAGCAGAGCTCGCTCATGCATCATCATTAGTTTGAACAATCCTTCCTTAAGTTTACTGATTTCCAAAGTTGAGAGTTGGTGAAATTCTGTTCAAAACAAGCGACGAGCCACGTAGGCACAAAGGTTAACCTGCAAAGCTTCATCGGTTTCTCTCTCCTGTCAGTGAAGAACAGCAGTCGGGACAGTTCGCAAAGAGTTTGAAAGAGTCAAGAAAACAGAGAGTGGAGCTTTATTTGGTAGTCTTCTCGCCGCAGAGGGAAAGCTGTGCCGCGTCTTCATCACAACGATTCCTCCGATGAGAGAAAGCAACTTTATCCAAGAACGTCTTTTAGTTTTCCAAAGCGTTTTTCAGTTTTCAGTCCCTTTGCCTCTGTGCCTGCTTACGCTGCAGACAATTTACCGAGACAGAGAGCCAATACAACGCCGCTAATGTTTACACCTTGGGAAGTGCGCGTCATGTAATAGTCACTTATTTGACAAACAACACAGGAGGAGAGGGGTAAAGCAGCGGGCAGGGGCGTGTAGAAACAAGAGGGAGACAACACGGGAAACGGTTCCCTTGATTTAAAGCAACAACAGGATTACAAGTCATATAATGCAAATGCATTTTCATACCAAGAAATCTTGAAAAATTGGGCTCAAATTGTGCAATTTAGTGAAACAACATGTTGGGTGATTGTTCTATTATTTTCAGCCATATAAACATCCAACTATGAAACAAATATATTATTAAAAAAGTGATTAAACTGGTAACATTCCAGGTTAGTACAAATAAAAAAAAGGCAAAACACTGGTTCAGTTTGTAGTCATACAAAACAGATTTGGTCTTCCATTTCATGGAATTAAATGAGATTAAGGTGCCTAATCAGTATTTAGTCCACTATGAACACAAGTGGACAAAGTGCATTGATTTTTAAAGTTTACTTTAGGTGCTTCAGGTTTCTCTCTTCAGTGCAGAAAGGAGTCAGATTGTTATTTGAAATACTGCCTAACTGTTTTTGCTTTTATTTTTCTAAAGTACGAGTCAGAGCCATCGTGATTCACAGGCCTCATATCATTGATGTGGTGCTAACTGCAGTCTTGTTAAGGTGAGAACTTGCTTTTATTTGCACGATTTTAGGGAAACGTACAGGTCACCACTAGTAAAACACTGCAGCAAAGTTTTTGCGTCTGTGTTGTTATTTCACTGGAACCAGAGGTTCATCTCCCAGTGGCCCTTATTTAGTGCACAAATGGTGCCTTTGTAGCTCACTGCCCAGAAGACAACACATTCAACTTCACATAAACGCTCTCATTCTCATGATCTACACAAGCCCCTTTAAAAAGGTCAGAACAGATCACAGGAGGTGTTTTATCAAAATGTGAAAGCAGTGCATATTAAACGCATTCTTTCCCATCCGACCTGTAGGTGTTATGTTAAAAATCTATAAGAGTAAAGAAATAATGAGCAAGTATAAAGGGAAGACTTGAATAGACATCCTGTGTTATTTAATGCCTGGCCTTGGCATTCATTCAGCATTAAGGTACTTTTTTCTCATATCATTTCACACAGATCATCAAATTCATGTCAGCTCGAATAACCTGCTGATTCTCTTGATCTGCTCTTCACAGGTGCTAAAAAACAGGTAAAATGAAATCCCACAGTCATGTGCTGGTTTCACTGGACACACTGCTCAGCAGTGACATCTAGCTGCAATACATTTTCAAGCACCTTTTTAAGTACAACTGCTCAGAGGAGGGTGGGCATTCACAGAATTACAAATTGATATTTGAATTCAGGCCCTTGCTCACAACTTATCAAACACTCCTTCCAGAAGAAAAGCAGCATCAGTGTCTGAAAGGGGGCAGCTTAGTAGCTTCATTTAAGCAGGCAAGGAGTGCAAATTAGAAAGGAGCAAAATCTGTCGTTTAGACAGTTTGCTTCCTTTAAAAAATAAAAATAAAAAGGGTTTAATGGATGTGTTTGGATTCAACATATTTTTGGATACCTATCTCACTGACAGTTGTCATCCTCAGCTCAGCTTGAAGATTGTATTTCACGCCATTCCTCTTTATAAACATTATGTAGGTGCTGCTTTATAAGCGTTATCAAAGTTTCATGTGCCTCTGTGTGGGGTCGGATTCTTGTTTTCACCTTAGTTACAGTGAGAGATTGAGCTAAAGCTAATAGTCCGTGTCTTAGTGTCACATAGACGTGACTCGGAAACAGCTTGAAGAGCAAATGAATGTGGAGAACTACACATGCAAATCAGGGGATAAAAACACTTGGTCTAGCTAACTGCCGTCCAGCGTTGATTCCTCCAAACAGTATTTCTTGTAACATTCAGTTAAGCTTCACCCTACTTCCCCACAATTGCTAGTCTTCAGAAACGGACAAAGATTTCTTGACGCTGCGTGATGGCTCCCAAACCTCACTGTCGTCTGTGTCATCACCATCCTCCTCCTCGTCCTCCTCCTCATCTTCTTCATCTCCCTGCCCTGCGCCTGTCTGCTCGTCGGTGGCCATTGACTCTCCCTGCGTCTCCTCTCCATCCTCCTGTGTTCCTTCGTCTCCATCAGTCCTCTGTGCGCTCGGTTCCAGGAAAGGATCTAACCCCCCGTCCAAGCGTCGCTGCACCTCAGCGAACCACTCCCTCACCTTTCGACAAACAGAGAAAGAGGAGGTCGTGACCTCAGAAGGTTATTTCTCAGCTTCGAGGTGGTTGAAAATACTTTCACTTTACTAGTGAGTGTTAATGACATGAAGACCAGTTAGGTCCATGCAACCCTTAGTACGTTTTCTGTAACAATCCTGATTATCTTTTAACTAGTAGCACAGAGACACAACCCTAGCCTCAGGGGGTCACAAACTAGCATAGTGCTGGTCCAGGATAAATGGAAGGTTTGCTTCAAGAAAGGAATGTGGTGAAAAATCTGTGCCAAATACCAAATCTGTGTCAAATAAAGTGGACTCATTCATTGCGGTGACCCATGGAGAAATAAGAGAGCAGGCAAAAGTACTTTAACTCATTATCTTTTGACTAAATATACATTATTGGGCCACATCTCTTAATCTTTGAATTCAGCTTTTTTCCCAATGTCATTGCAGCAGATTTACAATATCAAGTAACTAGCATGACAAAGGGCCTTTATAAACATTTGTAAAAGAACAGGTTGTTCTGCAGAGATCACTGAATTTAAGCGTAGTGCTGTAATAGGATCTCGTCACTGAAAACATTTCCAGATATTTCTAGGTACAGTGTTTCACAATCAGTGGTAAGTGGTAATACAGCAAAGTGAAAGTGTTTAGGAACCACAGACACTCCGCCGTGAAGTGAAAGTTACAGCGCGCTCTGCTGACTCAGTAATTGCAGAGATCCAAACCTCCTTTGACATTAACATCAGCATCCCAGTGTCGACTGGGAGCTTCATTGCACTAAATTCAATAACTGAGCAGCTCCTTTAGATGTTCCATGTAGGTGGCCCAGTTTTTGTCTATACAGTATACAGCGGTCCCTCGCTATAACGAGGTTCAGCTTCCGCAGCCTCACTGTTTCGCAGATTTTTTTTTGTGCAATTTTGCATGCTTTTTTTTAACAGCGCATTGTGTTCTGCGTCCTGATTGGCTGTAGATAGAGCTGGGCGATATAAGATTTTTTCATATCACAATATGCTTTTTTTATTTCAGGCGATAACGATATATATCACGATATAACCCAAATAACTATATTTGTAAGATTTAAATGTGCCGTTGCTCACAAGTAAAATGTGAAATAATCAGCAGCTTGTTTTGATTTAAATATTTATTTCCCATAATAAGTTCAACAGGGTAGATGTACTTAAAATGAGGCTTCAGTTTAGGCAAAATAAAGGCAAATATTACAAACTACACAAAAGGGAGCCGTTAAAGCGTTTAAGTTTCAAAATAGAACAAACAAATCAGACTACTAAATTGTCAGTTCCACTTAGAAACAAAATATTAATTCTAAAAATAAATCTTAGTTTATTTTACAGAAGAAGAGACAAAATTGACTAACTTTTTTAATATTGCTTTGGAAGCGCTGTCTGAGAAATGTTTATGTCCAAGGAGTTGGTAACGAGGATCCATTACCTTAATTAGCTGCTTGAATCCTTCATTGTCGACCGTGTTTATTGGTAGCATGTCTTTAGCAAGACAGTAAGCTATGGCATTCGTTATGTTGCTATGTCTCTTAGCTTTTTTGTCATATGGTAAGACGCTGGAGAAAGCCGACTCAATTGACTGTTGCTGCTTCTCAGGGATTCCCCCTGGTTGTTTTCGATGACGAATTAGCGCTTTTAGAGATTGAGCGTGCTCTAGTGGGTGGCACTGCTTCAGGTGATAAAAAAAAAGGTTTGTTGTATTTCCAGACTTCGTGGGAACATGCTTTCGGCACAATTTACAGTGGGCGTTACTCTGTTTTTTGTCAGACTTCAAATAGCTGAAATACCTCCACACTACGGAACTTCTCTGTCCTTTCCTTTCGACAATCTCTCCGGCATTGGAACCGTCATCTGTGTTCTCTTCGGTAACCTGGTCACCCAAGCTCTTGATTGATTTTTCTCTAGTTGGCACACTCATTTCCTCCATTACCCGGCCGGCACGGCGGCTGGCTGCTTCCCAAACAAATACACACGTGCGGCTTGGCACTTGTGCTCACAAGTCACGTGACGTGGTTCGGCTCTGCGCTACTTAATTTGGATTGGCTACTTCGCGAATTTCACTTAACGCGGGTTATTTTTAGAACGCAATAAACGAGGGACCACTGTATACCAAATCATCTCATAAGGGTTTTTTTTTTTAGGTAAAAACAAAGTATTTAAAAACCAGAATGTCAATAATACAGAAGCTTATCAAGCTCATAATCCAACACAGTCCACAGGCTACTGTAATGAGTGAAGAACAGAAAGGAGTCTAAGGAGCTTGAAAAAGAAAAGCGTCTGGACTTTTTTAAGTTGCTTGAAGACGTTTCACCTCTCATCCGAGAAGCCGCTTTTCTTCCCAAGCTCCTTAGACTACGATGACCTGGATGACTGAGAACCTTCACAGACAAACAGAAAGGAGGTTACAAGTTTTCCTGTTACTATACTAACTAAATTGCACAAACTAAAGATAATTAAACTAAAACTAATTAAAATCTACAAGAATGCACACAAACAATCATATTCATGGTTATGAGCACTTTTCCCAAAAATTGCTACTCAACCTAGGGCAGGGGAGTCCAACTTCAGGCCTCTAAAGGCAGTCTCCTGCAGGTTTTAGATATCACCCTTGGTAAACACACCTAAATCAACTGACTAGTTCACTACCAAGCCTCCGGAGAACTTCAAGACATGTTGAAGAGGTAATTTAAATCAGCTGTGTTGGATCAAGGAAACATCTAAAACCTGCAGGACCTGGAGTCCTGGAGTTGGACACCCATCCCTAGGTGGTGTAGCGATTCTTGGGAAACGTGTCTATAAAACTATAAATACAACCCTGACACTGAGCAGAATTTAGGTGAAGACCTTTTAAGTGATCGCTGTGCAAGTTTCTCTAAAATCTGACCAATATTTATAATTCTTGTGAATTGCACTATGAAGGACGGATGGACAGATGCCTCACCATTGCATCCGTCCATTTGGCTGGATGAGCTAAAATAGGAAGAGATTTTAAAAAAGAAATATTGTTCAATTCTGCAGTTATTATTGTTATTATTATTATTTTACTTTCCTCACCTAAGAGGAAAGCTGGTCCAAGGAGTTACTTGTTCTTACCTGTTCATAGCTCATGTTGGTCTTGGTGACAAGCTCGTCCAGATCTTGCTCATTGAGGAAGTGGTGCTTCAAGTAGTACTCCTTCAGGATCTCCTTCCCAGTCTTGAACTTCTTTGATGGGGTTGGCCTGTCGACATCCGAACTTAAAGAGGTGGACCTTCTTGGCTGCTTCCTGGTTCGGGATCGTCCCCACCCACGATTTCGTCCACGTCTTTTCCGACTGCCGCTTCCCAGTTTACTCCCACCTCCGCTGTTTGGTCCTTCGATGTTGCCACTTTGGTATTGAAAGAACCACTTCAGGTTTCCGTTCTTCCAGGAATACCGAGAGTCTCCGAACCAGCTGACAATGTAGGAGCGAGGAAGGCCGCTTTCCTCTGCCAGCTGATCGTACTCCTCTGGTGTGGGCCACTGGGTCCTAACAAAGGCACTTTTCAGAATATGGAGCTGCTCCGGAGTCTTTTTACTCTTGTCCTTAATGTCCTTCTTGTTGCTGCTGGGCAAATGCTTGGTGCGATTCCCAGGAGGAGTTTGACTACCTTTTCGAGATGAGGAGGCAGGAGGTGAAGAAGAGGCCGTTGCTCCTGTTCCTCCCCCTTCTCCTGCTTTTGCTCCATCTGTTTCTATTTTTCCTCCTTCAGAGGAATCTGGAGACGAGGTGCTGACGGATGGCATTTTTCGTCTCTCGGTGAACCAGGCGTCAATTTCCCTCCGTGTCAGTTTAGTCTCCGTCCTCAGGCGGCTCAGCTCTTCATCTGAAGGTGTGGTGTTCTTCTCAAAACTCTCCTCCAGCACCACAAGCTGCTCCGGCGTCTTCTCCTTAAACTTCTGCAGGGTAAAGTCCGGAAACGGGTTCCACGTTTTGGGACGGGTCTCCTTCTCCTTCACGGGAGGTGTACGTGGAGGATGGGGTGATGTCGGGGTCTCGTCGCTGGAGTCGATAACAATGGTGGTGTTAGCAGCGCTGCTACATGTGCCCCCGCTTCTACCACCTCCGTCGTGAAACACGATGACGTGGCTGTTCTTGGAGTTGCGCTGGTTGTACCTGGTGTCACTGAACCACTTTTTGATCTCCCCTTTCGTCAGGTTGGTAAGTTTCATCAATCGGGCAATTTCGGCATCTGTGACAAAGTGGTTCTTCAGGTAGCTGGCTTTCAGCTCCGCCAGCTGCTCTTTGGATTTCTTAGGTCGCATGCTGAATGTGTCAACACTGAGGGCTGAGTTCTCCTTAGAGACAGAAGGAAAAAGTTACATTTTATTTACATTTTGTTTCTCCAACACAGTTCTAGCTGAAAGAAACACCACAAGGTCATTTTTGTGTACTGATTATAAAGCCATTAAAGGTTCTTCTTGGTAGCACGAGCTGTAAGTGCTTTCCACACCTGTGGTGAAAGAGAGGGAGGCTGGATAGTGGTAGCCCGCTTCAGCTCACTGTTTGTCAGGGTGGGCTGGCAGGAAACTCTGCTGGAGCTCTGGGACTGGCTAGGCAACCCTGCCACTGTCAGGGTGATGGGACTGGTCACTGGAAGGTTGCCTCCTGGGCCAACCTACATAGCATCAGAAAAAAATAATAAGGGACAGAGATGTGATGTTTTGTTTAAAGGGAAAACGTGTTTATAAAACAAAAGTGTTTTTTTTAAAGGTTTAACCGCTGTAATGTTTTCATGTACTTGTGCTAGTGGCTTTTTTGGCAAGACTCCAATTCCCATCTCCTCTCATGTCTGGCTAAAGACCAAAATCAACAGAGGTCAGAACATCCAGCTCACTCAGAAAGAATTCAGTTCTCACACACCAAAGTGAGAGTAATAATTCACCTATTTGTTCTGCATTCATTTGGTATAAGAGGCTCGGTTCCAGAGATGCAAAGCAACGTCAACATTGGGTGTAAAAGCACGAGGGAAGTCTGTGTGTCCATCGGTACTGTTGTTTCTGAGTGGCTAATTTAGTATTACTGGAATTCAGAATGCAATCGCAGCCAGCTTTTATGGAATTGGTTTTTCAAACAGTTAAAGTGATGTGCTCATTTTCAAATCGTCACTGTGACATCAACAGGAAAGCTATTCATATGCGCACACCTTCTTAGATGGATTTGTAATTGATTACTCCTTTCTTTGCATTACATTACTACTCATTCAGACTAGTTCATTGTACCTGAGACAAGATGAAAAGCTGAGAAGCCCAAGCCAGGTTAAGGCTGGGTCAAATGTAACACGTGTTTTTTCCTTACCTACCTGTGTGAACACGAGGCCAGACTGGCCCACTATCTGGCAGGTCTGAAGGATGGACTGCAGGCCGTTAGCAGCAGCCGACAGCTGGTGAGCAGGTATGACAGTGATAGTCTGAGGCACAGTGTGCACCGTGCCATTAAACTGCTTCCTCCTGGCCTCTTCCACTTCTTCTGGAGTCCAGCTGACACCGTGCTTCAGCCTCTGAGCTGAGAACCACACCTGCGACACAGATCGAGCACATCTGACTCTAATATTTTGTTTTAAAGTATACTTTAAAACAGTCTATTTGTAGATGAAAAATGAGAATTCCAATTGAGGAAGCTTTTCACTTGTAAAACAACAAGTAATACTACACTACAAAAACAATGATGGCCATAACACAAAAGTAATTATCAGTAATGAGCCTCTGAATTCCTTACTGGTGACTCACCAATATATCAGATTTTAGTCCTACTTACTTAAATGTGTGAAAAATATTCAAAGTAAGAACTAAGAAATCATGGAAGCTTTATGAGCAGAGGTACCTTGATCTGTTCCTCTGTGAACTGTGTTTGTGCTGCCAGGCTGCTGATCTCAGCCATGGAGGGGTAAGGGAACTTCTTATATGTGGTGCCCAGCAGAGGGTTGGTGTCCATAGCGGCACTGTAGGAGGGGATGCTGCTAAGTGGAATCAGCAGCTGGGGCTGAACTGCTGCTGTGTTTTGCTGGGCCTGGAAGGCAGAGAGCACCTGGAACAAAGACAGAGAGGGATGGAAATGAGAAATGTCATCCATGCAGAGCAGCTAAAGGAGAGATGGTGTCCAAGCTCTATTTGGCAGGCTTCTGACCAGCTGAAGTGTTCCTGAACGAGGCAATGAATATTTATCAGCTGAAGGGCTGCTATTATGCTGTTGATATTTAACATTACAGCAACCCTTTGTCCAAAAGCTTGCAGCAGGTTTTAGGTACAGACCGCTGCTGGGTCTCACCACATGCATTAATTGCTCACAGGCACTGGTAAAATCGGAATTCGTACAGCTGTAAAACACATGACATTATATAGTGTCTCTACCTGTGCCAGACCAGCAGGCAGGACTGTAGGATTTAAAATGGATGACTTCCTCTGCTGTTCAAACTGAGGGGTGATCAGCAAGCCGCCTCCCCCGAGCTTCATGGAGTCGTGCATGAGCATCTCCACAGGCGTCATCGGCCCCGGAGGAGCTTCAATGGGTTCCTGCTCCCCACCCAACTCTCCATCGCCACCTCCTCCAAAAGCCTCCGCTGCCTCGTCTGCCGATTTCAGGGACACAGCGATTCTCTTGGGTTCAGATTTGGTCTTCATCCTCATGATCGGGGTCTTGCTGAGAGAGATGGCAGCAACTGCAGCGGGGTCTGCTCCCCCCTCCTCAGGGGTGTCACACTGTTGCTCGTGGGTGGGCTGGTCGCTGCTCAGATCCTCAGGAGGATTTGTAGTGCTGCTTTTCAGTGACGGACCGACAGCCTCTCTGTTGTCTACAGTAGATACACCAGGTTCATCTGTAGTATAAACAGTAACAATAATGCAGCATTCATTATTTACAGCACATCTGTGTATACTAAGTATATTACAGGTTTGTCAGGTGAGAATGAGACCAAGAGTCTTACCTGAATCTGGTGGAACAGGAACAACAACTACAGCCTGCCCCAGCTCCTCTGCAGTCAGCCCCTCCTCCGTTCCCTCCTTCACCTTTCCCTCCTCCTCCTCCCCAGCGTCTTCCTCCTTCGTTTTCTCTGTTTTCTCCTCCACCTCCTCTTGCTCCTGCTCAACCACATCAGAGGGCACCACCATGCAAGGTGTGGTGGATTTCCGGCGGCTCGACATTGTCAAACCAAACTTTTTACTTCTCCGGCAAAACTAGATGCGTGGCAGAACTGCCGAGACTCGCATATCGCAAGCAAACGTGCTCCCACTTTAAAGTCCTTGAATTCTGTATTTCTGTTGAAAAACACACACACAGACAAAACAATTATTCAAATAATCTGCCCACTGTTGCTTAAGCGTTCCTGTTGTTGTTATCAAATCTTTCCTTTGCTGCCAAAGGTAAGACTCTGTGTGTGGGACAGGAGTTCAGTTTTCAGCTGTGTATTTGTTACTGAGTTGAGTGTTTTAAAGAGGCACGTAGGGAAGGGCATTACAAGTAAGCCCAAGCTATTTAACCTGAGTGAATGCAGGTTTAATTAATTACAAAGCGTAATTACGCTGAAGGCTTAAAACTCCAACTTATTCTTACAAAATGACTGGATGGGTTTTTATTTATTGTTTCTTTTATTCTTTGTGTTTGATTTTATTAACAAATGACTTCAGGCCCCCGGTTTGGACGGGCAATCCTTAGGAAAGCTGCAACACCACAGTCTGTAACATTCGGCGAGTGCGCTATTTTAAGAACAGAAGCTTAATGATTGCCTAAATGTCATGCATTTAGGAGACATCTATGAACTGGAGCTACACATGCTGCACTAGCTTTGTACAATTACCACCTTCAGGATATGATTCATAAAACCCACATAAGACTTTCACTTCATCTTTAAGGCTTTTACCACTTAACTAGCAGTAAAGGGGTCAATGACGGTGGGGTTAACCTCTGATACTGTTACCAATTTCAGTTTAGGGCATTACTATGGAATCATGCTGACCAGCAGCAGTCACTATTTAAGATTAAACAATCACCCAAACAAATCATTGATTAACACAGTTAGTTCCACCCTATGCTGCAGATGAAGTCCCCATGAGGTGATTTCTTTTTTCATCTCGAATGAAGTTATTCATTATGTTCATTCATCAGTATACTGCAATATGTGTCTTTAATTACTTGATGTGTGATGTGACTTAATGATGATGTTATAATAGTGAGACAACTAGGCCAGTTAAGTTATATTTTTACATAGTGCACTGCACAGGCTACGAACTGCACAGTCCTTCAGATGATGATGTAACTGCATGAAATTGTGAGGCGTAACTAAAACTTGATCAGCTGAGTTCTCTGCCTCCTAAAGTCATCACAGACACTTGTGAATTTATACCAGAGACATTAAAAGAGAGATACTGCAACAGCAAACATGGTGCTACAAGCATAACTTCAAAGAGTGAGAAGATTGTTAAAAACAAAATCTCATTTTAAGGCAAATTCAGCTAAATTTTAAGCATTTTTTTTTTATCAGATTTGATGAGTGATTTGATACATGTGGTATATTTGACTGTTGAAAACAAGCAGCATTCAGACAGTGTATGTCACATGTTATTAACAGGTTATTATTAGGCTATTAATAACAGGTGTTACACATAATACATTGGGCACAGAAGGTAACAAGAAATAATCACACAGGACTTAAAAGGGGCCGCATCCTCATATACAGTCACGTGAAAAAATCTGAACAAGCAGAGACTGGATCCACTTTGAAACAGTTAAATCCAGCTGAAGAAGATATTCAAATAAATGACAGTAAATTTACATTTAGATAAACAAAGGAGATCCACAAAATTTGAGTCAGGTGTTTGAGATTAGGTGTCGGTGATAACAACCTTCTTCGGAAGTGACAGTGAGTTCTGTTTTATTTCAACTTTGACATCTGTGATCTTGAAGTGTGTGGCGTCATCCTGTCAAGTTCTAAAGAGCCTTTTGAGGCCTTCAGAATACATCTTGTAGTTGTGGAGACTATAAGTTTGGCAAGGGCTTTTAAAAAGACCGCTAAAATGACTTAAATTAGTCAGATCAGGATATATTAAAGCAATTATGGTAGGGGGGTCATATCATAATCTATTTCATTATTTACATCTCGCTTTAAGGCACAGATTTCCTGCTCAAAAATAATATTTGAATTCACTTTGCATGTGTCTTTGCGAATTAAGAGTTCAACTTAACAGCTTATGGATGCCAGGTTGTTGACTGTGACACAAGTGCTACAGCAAATAAGCAAACATTTTCCTCTAACACGCCTCTGCACACGCTTTGAGCCAACTTCTCCTGACTTGTTGCTGGTAAAGTCACCCTAACAGATTACACAGAGGTGTGGACGGCATGCTACGCTGCTCTGCCATCATGCGCTCATTTGCATCAACTGTTAGCAACTCAATAATGTGGAGGTGTGAGCTAGCTCATTCGTTATAATTATTAATGCCACGTTCAAGCTACGAATTATTAAACAAAATATGGTTAGTTCGACTCTAAGGCATCCGACACGTACAAAGAAATGGGCCAACTAGCCAGTGTTAGCCGGGCCAGTCATAATTATTGATCACGTCTGGCGGTAAACTTACTGGAAGTACTGAAATGTGCACTGTGTTGCTACCAGGCTGTCGAGACAAGGCGAGGAGTGATTTCCTGGGTCTCAGCAGAGCAGCTCTCAGCTCCTCTCTGGTGGTATCTGTCGGCGTCTCTGCTTTCCCCCGGCTAACCGCTCAGACCCGAGCCTGGCCCGGGACCGCAGCAGCGTTAACGTTATCCGGGCAAACGGGTCTTCCCAAACCCAGCCGAGGGACGCAGACAGACAGACGGACCGGTCAAACGGCTACGGCTGTCGTTGGCAGATGCTGGAAAACACCGGACATCTCCCTCTCTCCCCGTCGGAGCAGGTTACTTCACGCCAAAGCGGGGGCTTCTTTGTCAAAGTTGAACCACCGAACGAACGCACGGGAGTTACATTCATACCGTGCTGTTTGCTGACCCAATTCTCTGATTTTTTTTTTAACGGCAGATTTTTTTAATGATCAAACGGCGTCATCATTCAATGTAATACGTCCTGACGTCATTCCTCGGCGACTCTCTCTGTGCTCTTAAAATTTTGGGGGAGAAATTTTAGGCTACAAAATGCCCAATTTAACAGCACTACAGTGGACTCGGTGTGAGCTTGTTTTGGCCGTGATATCCTTAGAGAGTAACTGCGTGTCAAACAGCGTGTGCGGCGGGCCGTAAACTCATCATTTCCCCGATCCGGCTGCGTGCCAAAATGTCCTTACATGACCTGTCAGGGCACGATGAGAAGCTACTTAAGGACAACACTGACAATGCAGACTTTCCTTTCAACACACGCGATACTGTGTACAGTTGCTGTTCAGGCTTTTCTCGTGATTATTTTCACTTTTGAAAAAAAAGGGCTATTATGTAAAGAGCTTTTTAAGCTGCCGTAAAAAAAAGTCTTTTATATATTTAAAATAAAACGAGGTTGTCGCCTCCTTTCGGCTATAAACAATAACAAGAATGCGTCAGAGTATAACGCAACAGTCATACATGAAGCGCGGTATAACTGGTTAAACACTTCAGGTTGTATTTACTTCGCTTTTTGTTATCAGTTAGTTATCACTGGCATTACGCAACCAAAATCAGTGTGTGGATAATTTTAAATGCACTTCATTGAATTAATGTGCCATAATAAAGTCACGTGGTTGTTAGGAGACAAGTTATGAGCATCTGTGAAGGGATGAATGCCTAAAATGGGGTCACATTTTTAAAAATCCTGGATCCTCAATTTCCCATAATGCAATTATTTAATCTCTCCGGTCTACCTATTCTTAACAATGGTCGTTAAAAGTATTATCTATATATAAGATCAGATAAGTTTGTTTGAGTAGTCCCGCTGCAGTCGCTGATAACAACTTGTAAAACTTTCTAAACCTGATTGGCTTTCGAACAGTCAACCACAACTTGTAGTAGTGAAATACAGGAAGTGATAGTATTATGATGCTTTCTAATACAGAGTCTGCTGATACCCTGAAGTGCACAAATATAGCAGATTTCTGTGGACCTAGTCATTTTTAAATGATCAGCTTGGGGATAAAAAAAAAAAAGAAGGCACACAACAACAGTTAGAGGAAACCCATTTAATTAAATATAAACATGAGAAGTAGTACAAAGTATTAGCTAATGCAAATATAGGTGCCTGTGGATTTCTATGAAAATAGAACCAATTTGTTTCTATTTACACATATGGAAGGATGGGAATAACTATTAAAAATGACATTGCTGTTCATGTGGACATGTCAACAGAAGTCTTCAATTTCTTGCTCCATCTCCTAATAAAACAAACACACAAGGGAAGAACTACAGATTAGGAACATTAAAATACTAAAGCAAAAGTAGACATCTTTGAAAATAAAATACAAAACAAAACTGATCAACAAAGTTCAATTGTGATAAAATACTCATAATCATACAGAGACCCATCATTAAAGTTATCAGTTACACCAACTCAGAATATCTCCAGGAGCAAAGTTTACCAGTTTACCAACGCTCCTCCAGTAATCACCTGTATTAGTGCAGTTTTGTTGTAGTCTCGTCTGTGTCTATAGATGCTCTGGCAGAGCAGAGCATACAGTTTCTCCAGCTTATACACCTCATAGCCTTCTGTTTTAGTTACCACCTGCTCCAACAGCACCTGAAAACACACAGGACAAAAAAAGGAATGGAATTACACATTTACAATATATATGTATGTATGTATATATATATATATATATATTTATATATATATATATTATGATATATCTTGTATATATATATATATATGTAGAGAGAGAGAGAGAGAGAGAGAGAGAAATCTGCAGTTGAGCAGTTTAGTTCTCTTTTTTTCTCGTTGTCAGCACACACTACACAGATGGTATCCCACACCTTTAATTTGTCTTTGTCCACAACTACAGGAGAGGTTTCCTCATCCAAGATCTGCAGAGCTTTGTCCACATTGATCATCTGCTGCTGCAGCACAGCGTTTTTCAGAGCCCGAGTCATTCGCCTCACGTTCCGCTCTGAGACACCAAACAGACATGCACACACAGGAAAACACACAAAATGTTTACACGATTGTAACAGATGATAGCCTGCTGGTATTTTCACTCTGAGGCCCAAGGACTGTGGTCTAGAAGCACTATACTAGTAATCTGCTTTCCCTGCTGGACATGACGTGTGCTTTTTTTCCCCTTTCAGCAACATTTTCAACTAAACATCTGGTGTCACATTAAATGTGAGAAACCAGTCTTAGTGTGTTGACATCCAACCTGTGCCTGTGTCCTCCTCTCCTCTGGCAGCTGTGCAGGCATCTGTGGTTGAGGATTCTTCCACCTCCATTGGTTCAGCAGTGATGTTCTGCTCTGCCTCCTCTTCTGTAACTACCTTGATGTTTTCTTCCTGGCCTACACAGCGACTCGGCTCAGTCTGAGTTTTTGACAAGTTTAGAGTTTGAGCATCTACTGCGCGGGGATGCTGGTTATCTGCTTCAGCCTCAATGTAGCTGTGCTTGTTAGTGTTCACTGAAAGAGGTTTGTGGTTCTCTTCTACTTCCTGTCCTAACAGCTTGTTTTCCTCTAAGTGATGTGCAACAGCATCGTCCACCTTCTCTTGTTCATTCTGCGTCTCGCCGTGATTTTCCAGTTTTGCTTTTTCACATGAGTTGACCTCATCTTCAGGATCTGCTTTCTTCTCCACTCTCCCCTCCTCACTGCTTTGCATTTTCTCAGAAAGTCCAAAACCATCTATGTGAGTTTCTGCAGGTTCTGACTCTGCATCAGCTATTGTATGATCCTCCTCTGCTCCATCGCCCTCATCACGTTCTTCTCCTGCTTTCTCAACTTCATCCTCATCATCTCCATCCTCTTCCTCCTCATCAGACCCAAGCTGATCATCATTTTTGGACACGTGAGGAGAAATGGACTTCTTCTTTGCATAGTAGCCAGTGGACCATCGGCTCTTCCGGCGTTTCTTCTTCTGGGCTGGGGGAAAAAAATGTTGTAATCCATAAACTGAGGGATTATTTGCAACTGATTTATGTGTATGATTATTTGCTACTAATTTAAGTGTATGATCTTTACCTGTATTTTTGGGCGTTGTAAAAGCAGAGGAACATGGATTATTAGTAGCTGGAACTGTGGGTCCATCCAGCTGCTGTAAGCTGCTGTCGGTGATCTTAGCCTCAGCAGGAGATTTGGACTGTTTGGGAAGGACGTGGTAGAAGGAGGGAGTAAATCGTGCAGTGGAACAACCTGAGGTAGTCAAAAATAGAAATATGTACACTTTTACTTGTTTAAAACTGCAAATGAACTGCTCCTTAAGGAAACCTGAGACAAACAGAGTTTGTTATATCACATTAAAACTAAAACATTTCAGATTACTCAAGGTTTTTTATTTTATTTTTTATAGCCATTATTGATTGACCCCAGATTGTTTATTTTATAACTGAGCTAAACCAAACAGTCTTTTTAATTCCATTGGACCAGGACAAATGTCAATAATCATGCACACACACATAGAGACACAAACTGACCTCTTGCTCTGCGTGACTCCTTGGTCTCCTCACAAAGCTTCTCAAAATCTTCATCCAGTTCATCTTTGATGATAGCATGGACTGTGTCTTTCAGTGCACATGCTCTGTGCCGTATCTGACGATCTGAGAAAAAAAAAAACATTTACACTTCAATCAGCCTATGTGTGAGCACTTTGTATTTCACTGATTCTTCTCTTATCCATGGTGTATGTGCATGTGTGTGTCTGTTGTCCACTGTGTGTACCTGAGGGATCCCTGTCTGGGTTGTATTCGAGGGCATTCTGCCAGATGAGATCCACGTCCTGAAGGAACTCTTTGACTGTTCTGTACTGATGGAGGTCTATCCTGGAGAGGACTGTTGACAGGTCCATAGGCTTCTTGATCACTTCAGCATAATCTGGAACCTGAAACACAGGACAGATGCTGAGTGAAGGAAAGAGATGAAACCAAACATTTCAGAGGATCTCAGAGGACAAAATCGGTTGATATGAGCACTGCAGTAAATTGCACATTAAACTTGTCATTTGTGGGGATAGGTTTGCTGCCCCCCAGTGGCAGTATCTAAATAATACTTTAGCTAGGCAAATCTTTAACCTTCAGTCATTGCTCCCCTCCTGAAATATTCTCTACTGTAGTAATCCAGTGCTGTATAAGGCATTGTTGGAGTACAAGGTAATAATAATAGCACTACTACCTCCTCTAAATCCACTGGCTTTGTAAAAGCCTTGAAGCGCTTATCTTGGGACAGACGGTTGGTGACATCACGTAAAAAGAGGCGAAGCTCTCTGAGGGTGTCTTCCTCCTGCTCCTCCAATCTCTGAGTCTCCTCTTGTGTTAGCTGACGTGGAGCTGGTGGAGGGGCGACTGGCAGCACTTCCAATGCATGAAGCACTGAGACAAGTGAAGAGTTGACAGATTTAATTCAATTATGTTTTGCAAGAGACAAAATGTATATCTTGGAAGCATCTGCTTTTAGCTTCCATCTAGGATAAGATGAACATTGCCGCACTGTGCGACCATATGAACAGATGTTGCACACTTAAACTACAAGACTGCTGCTTTGAGCCAATTTTAGTCATGAGCTGGGAGATATGTTAGTATGAATGTCTAGGCTTACCAGCTTTCTTTTTTGAGACAGGGGCCTTAGCAGCCTGGTTGAGGATTAGATCCTCAAAGAAGTCTCTTCTTTCCCTACTGGTGGGGACCTGAACTTGGAAAACCTCTCCGTACTCAAGCCGAAACAGCTCCTGTACCTGAGATGAAGAAGGTGAAAGGTGAGACTACCGCAGATGAATGCAGCTCTAAATTTTAGCGGGCCCTTTTGCATTCAGTAAAAACAGAGACACTGATTTATTACACCTTGTAAGAACATTTGACAAAGCAGATAATAACTGTTTATCCTCTGGCACATTTGCAACCCATGAAACAGAGCATTACTCATCTTTCCATACCTCAGTGCTGAGTTGGTCATAACGGAGGCTGCAGGTAGCGAGCAGAAGGATAGGAGAGAAGGCCGGGATGGAGCTCAAGAGACTCAGGAAAGTAGCTCTTAAAGCAGGGCCAACTGTTTCCCACCACTGGCCAATGTGAGGGATGTACAGGATACTGGGGGAGGTTCTCTTGGCTTCAACAAAAATCTGCAGAACATGTGACAAGAGCAGTAAATTCTAATGCAATTGCAACATCTGGACTGAAATCTACAGATGTGGGTATGGATGTGTAACAGCCGTCAGTTCCCTGCCCCTCCTCCATTGTGACTAATCTATTCTGTGTGTTTTCCTTATGCTAAACGCTCCGCTTAAGCCTCGCCCAGGACTGGAGCATTAGTTTCTTCTGTCGTCTTCTCTTTTCTGTTCTCATGACCCTGAATGGACCAGTACCCCAGTTCCTGCTTCAATGATGCTGCACCATCAACCATACCTCCTGCTTAAAAGTGCAGCAAAGCAGGGTGGCTTATGATTGTGTGTGAGAAGCCTGCTGCCATGCATCACTGTAAAATAACAGCATCTTCTTTCATACACGCACTTGTCTGTAGTACATAATTATCCCCACTGCTCATGGTATAAGGAAGTGGAGCCCATGAACTACAGTTTTTCTGTGGCAGCCATTTTGGCCAGTGAGGTCCACTTAAAAGAACACACTGAATTTGACAAGGCTGCAGAGGCAAAGATTGCCTCCAGACCACCTCAACATGTACCTCTACATTTTCTTTAAATGCAAATGATCCAAATGTAACCATAATATCACATATTTAATTTGGCTTTATAGCTCATGTACCTGAGCACATGTCTCTTCTGGTGCAGTTGCGCTGGCTCCAAACAGCATGGCCATGTCCAGTGTGTACACCGTGAACTTCTCCAGAGCGTGGAGCACAGCAGGAGCTAGGTGAGAGCTCTGGCCTGAACCTGGTCTGCCCTCCAGCAGCAACCGGGGACGGTAGGATGTGGGCTGGCTCAACACACTCCTACACAGGACAGACAGAGATACTGAGATGGTGAAGTAATAGGAATGTTTCACTTCAGTAACATCTGGGTCTCAGGCATTCCAGATAACTAACAGAGAGGCAATGTAGAGACACAAAGTGGTAGAAGTAGATGGCCATTTGATTTCAAATTGATTTCAAACAGTACTTGTCAAAAATACCACCTTATACTTGAGACTATGTGTCCTACCTGTGGAGGTTCAGGAGGCCGTTAGAGGCAGGTGTTTTGTGTTGGGAGGTCTGTCCAATGGGGCAGACCTCAGAGTCCTCTTCCTCACTGAACATCAGATCATCATCAGATACAGCAAAGGCCACATCTTGGATCACACAAACACAACAGGTAAATAATTACACCCTGAATTAAAGAAAATGAAAAAAGCTCTTTGTGTGTCACATCTTTTTATTGTTTCTCTCAGTCTTTGATTTCTTGAAAGAATTCCTATGATGAACATAACATGCGTGTAGCAACAGAGCAAGAATTAACAAGGTAAAGCAGGACCGCACCTTGTTCCCTCTTTCTCTTTAAGCCCATCTCAGCATGCGGAAACACTCTGCTGACTGTGAGGAGGATGCTCTGCAGGGCTGCATTCAGCAGTGGACGAATGGCAGGTACCAGAGCCTTAGCTGGTGACACTACCGCTCTAAAATAAATAAATAAATTATCACAATCATTATCAAAAGTACTTAACAGTATGTATGCAGCAACCAGGCTGCATAAGGACTGTGAAGACAGCACCAAAACTTTACCTCTGGGCAGCAGGTACCATCTTGGACATGGCAGACATAAAATCTTTGTTAGTGATGGAAATGGAGTTAACGTCAAGTACAAGTTTCTGTGATGAGGAGTAGATCTGTGGGTAGCGGCGCCGCAGTGCGCACAGGGCTGCCTCTGAAACGACCGCCTTGATGTCCGCTCCACAGTAACCTTAACAACAGAAAGTTTATTAATAAGCAAACTTTAACCTGTATGGCCAGAAAACTTCATGTGATCGCTTCCTACATGAATTCAGGATTGTTAGTGTCTCAGGTTTATTCCTTCCTTCTTCCTATCACATTTCAACTTACTTATACAGTATGGACAACTATAACTTAATGAAGCATGTATCTCTACGTGACATGTGCTCAACTTACCAACACATTTATCTGCCAGTTCCTCCAGAAAAGCCTCAGAGAGTGGAGGAGTCCACTGTCTGGTATGGATCTTTAGAATCTCCTTTCTTGCCTGCCATACAACATAAGATGCCAACAATTCATGTTCAGAACGAGCAATGCTGCTTTTTTTCTACTCATGCTAATGTGCAGCAGTATTGAAAACTACTAATATTTACAAAATACTACCAAAGTACCAATATTTACTATATCGTATTGCTGAAACTACATTCCTCACCTCTCTGTCGGGAAGGCCAAACAGGAACTCTCTGTCAAAGCGTCCGGGTCTTCTCAGAGCTGGGTCGATGGAGTCCAGCCTGTTCGTAGCTCCAATCACAACCACTTCTCCTCTACTGTCCAATCCATCCATCAGAGCCAGGAGGGTCGACACAATGGAGCTACAGACACAAAGGGTTAGATTTCGTTTTCATTAACAGTCTTCTCTGTAACAAAAAGGACACACAGTGACACAACAAGCCCTAAATATTAAGGCTCACTCTATCAAGGTACCTAACTGAGACAGTGTAAACTGGAAAAAACAAACAAACAAAATAAAGACCGTTCTGCTTCATTTTTCTGGTGCGTTTTAGGGCTCTACATTTAGGAACTGAAAGAAGCTTAACAATTTCCTAATGTAAATTATACTTTATTCCTAATAAAATATACAAGCAAATGTTTATTTTACAGAGTTGTTAAATTTGAGATAAAGTCAAGACTGCAAACAAGCCTGACCTGTGAATCTGGTCCTGACGGCTGGACCTGACTGGAGCCAAACCATCAATCTCATCAAAGAAAATAATGGAGGGACGCATCTGATATGCCTGGAAAGAACCCAGTAAGAACCTATTAACACCTGATACATGTACGGGTATTAAATTTTTAATTTTCAACATAAAGGCAAATGAGTTCAGTTTACCTGGTCAAACAGGAGACGTAACTGTCTCTCAGATTCTCCAACCCACTTGCTGAGGCAGTCAGCTCCTTTCCTCATGAAGAACGAAACCTTTTTGTCGCCCTGACTGCACTCATTGGCTAAAGCTCTGGCTACAAGTGTTTTACCAGTGCCCGGGGGACCATAGAAGAGACAGCCCCTGAAAGACAAGAGAAAACCATAGCGATAGGGCTGTGCGATATGACCAAAATCTCATATCCCGATATAAGACATCTATCGTGCAAACATGTTTGTGTAATATACTGTATATCTTGCATACATAGTGTAGTGTACTTTATGTAGCCTCATTATTTGGGAAAATAAATTGAAAAAAATCTTCAAACTACATTAAAAATAATGTGCAACCGTGACTTTTTGACACACAACTTTCTCCTGTTCACAAACACACTGCTTACCTGGGTGGCTGTATCTTGAACCTCTCAAACACCTCTGGGTAAAGCAGCGGGAACACCACCATCTCCTTTAGAGCTGAAATGTGTCTGCTCAAACCTCCGATGCTGTCAAACCGCACCTGATCGCATTCACAACAGAGTTACATTAGGATTACATGTTTAATGTGCTTTCGTGTAACATGTTTTTTCATTGCATCTGTTAATCGGGCTATTCTCTGACGCAGCTCACCGTCCTGTCAATCTGCATGGGGTCCACATCAGCGAGGCTAGCTCCGATCTTCATCCTGTCTTTGTGGATCCCCAGCAGGTCTTCTTTCACAAGGTTCATAGGTAGACATCTACAGGACACACAAACAAAAACTGTAAATAGCACCAGCATTTTATTATTATAAAACACAACAATCAGGAGTTCTGGCATTCTCACTAATGAGTCACAAGGCTAACCACAAGTTTTTCTTTAAAATCATTTGTACAACCTTTTATGTGTCTTATTTCACATTGCAAAAAAAAAAGAAAACAAAACAACACCTTGATACACCTACTGCTCTCACCTATTGACTGACCGGCTCCTGTTCTTACTCCTCCGTCTCTGAAATTGCTCGTCGTCTGAGGAGGAGGACGTGGAGTCGCTGCTGTGGATGGCATGTCTCCTCCTGCGCACCAAAAGATGTGAACACAGCTTATTGTAAACAAACAAGATGTATCAGCATGGAGGCAGGTTACTCTCACCAACAATGAGATTAGGATTAGAAGCCATCTGTAGCCACACATAAACTGTGACAAACAAAAAACAATACACCACCATTGGTCATCATTCATTAGTAGAAATCATATTGAGGAAAAAACAAAGCAAAATATCTGATTTGTACAAGTGTAGCAAAAACAGGAGTGACTCATCCAACCACTTTAGATGACACCATCACCTGACGACACCTGAGCAACACACAGGGAGAGCTTCACTTGCAGAAAACTTAAAAGGCTTGTGAGGCCAAACCAATTGCACAACATTCAAACGTTTTTAAAGTGACAGAAGTTTCAGATTAGATGTGCAGAAATGAAAACAAGTGCACCCAAAAAAAGCTGTCAAATGTAATACAAAGTAATACAAAAATAAACTAAAATAGAAAGTTAGGGCATTTGCTCTGTAACGAGCAACAGGGGAACATAAAACGAATTAATGAATAATCAAGTTAAGTTTTTTCATTATCTACATTTTTCCACATGGTCAAGACTGATATTTAACTTATGATTATTCACTGACGAGCTCGGATTTTTTACAGCAGCCTAAAAGAAATGCTCTAAAGTGCATAACGTTTGAATGAAGATTGGTTCATCATCTCTTTACTCGCCACAGCAGAGTGAAACTCAAATGCACCAACAGCAATTACCAACAACCGCAGAGCTAACAAGGAGAGACTCTATTAAAGACAAACTACAAACACTGTAAACACTGACAAAGATGAGCAGTGAGGGTCTTACCTCTCAGAACTACTCCTGATGGTAGGACGGGGAAAAAAAGAGGAAGAAAAGAGGATGGATTTGACATGCAGTGATTATGCTAGCAACTAGTAGAAACAGTGTTATGGCAATAGCTGTCAAAGAATCTGTTTGAAATCAAGCCTTTGCCAAACATTTTTGAGTATGTCTGAGATGAGGATCTAAACAGGTATGTGACTGTTTAAAAAAGTTCATAGATAACCTAAGAAAAGTGGACAATGCGCTAAAATAATCCTGTCTGATTTAGTAATAAACATCTGTCACGTGTACAAATTTAAGAAAAACAAAACATAACAACATGAGGTGTTACTCCTGCATATGCTGTATGTACAGGGTAATGTTCGGTAGCCGAGCTGTGACACTAACCTGCTGGTTCTCCTCCTGTTGTAGGGGCTCCTCGGGGCTGTGGAGCTGAATCTGAACCTGCGCCTGGTAGATGAGGAGTGGTCCTTGAAGTACATGCTGCGCTTCCTGGTCTCTCTCGGTTCTACAAAAGAAAAGAAAGCATCCTTCAACAGTGCAAAATGACAAGACAAAAGCAATTCAAGCAATTATTCTAGTTAATCATGATGATGATCCACAGCTCTGAATGGACAGCATACCATCTAGTGGGGCCTGATAGCGGACCACGGTCTTTCGCTGTCTTAAGTCATAGCGTCTTTGGTTTTCTTCTTCCTCATCTTCAGCA